CACTATCTTAATGACTTTGACAATTGGAGATTTGCATATCAAAATTCCATCTATATTTGATAAGGGTATTTCAATTTGAAATTAAATTGCACACTTGTAATGAAATGCAGTTTCTCTGTCGAAATCTGATTGAAAACTAATTTCACAGAGAAACATTGCCCACAAATTGAACCATCTACAGTGCACCATTTGCAATGAGATTCAGGAACATGGGTGAACAGGGAGTACCTTAAAAACTCGATTAGTTTGCGGTCTCTATTAGTTCGCGCACCCATTTTATTTTCAAACGCTAATTTTTAAATGTATCCTTTTAATTTGCGGCGTTCAAAAACATGTTTAAAATTGTATCCTATTAATTCGCGGGCCAGAATAAAGTGGATAACGCAGAATATATTGCATGAAGACATTAAAAATATACATATAATTTTATGTTATCAGTACTTGGTGTCGCCACAATCGCAGATGATCTCTGTCATCACAGCCTTTCAGTTAGCACGCAGTTTAGGTTCGGTAAAGATTTGACGTGAAAAAAATCATTCCCCCACGAACTACAGATGTTGGGCAAGATTATTACTTAGTCGATAAATATCCATCGGTCAGCACATCGATTACGAATTTCCGTGATGGAAAGCTTAGTACAGGGCCTTTTCGTCGCTGGTCCACAGGGTTGCATCGACCATGTGCCCGCCATTATTCTATTACGTCATTTAAGTGAACCGCCCTATGGTGCGTAAATTGACATTTTTGATTGGTCGGGCGATTGACCTCGTGTCACATTTTCATTATACCGGATTCGGTAAAAAACACAAAGTTAAGCGGTCATGTACCTTCTATAAATCTAACCTTGCACACATAATCTTGTACTGATGTGTTTTTTGTCCAAAAAAAGACGTTCCTTTTCATTTAACCCCCAGTTAACGTGTCCATGGTATTTGTGAGAGTTAAAAGATTTTTCGAACAAATGACAAGTAACTATATTGATTTGCGTCAAGCTGGGTGGCCCGAATTTAAATATCAGTGCATGAACTCTGGATGTCATTGCCCAGTGCCGCACGTAATTCAAACGCGTGGTTATTAGAGTTCAGTCGAAATGTACGTGAATAATGCGATCAAAGTCCGCTGCCCAGAGTTTATCATATTATAGTAAAATTTTATTTGACGTATGGTATGTTTACGTAATTATTATGAATGCAACGCATTATCAAGTCGGTGATATTGAAATATTCACAGACCCAATACCCCGGGTCAGTGCTCTAACAATAGTTGAAAAAAAACTAATTACTGTATCATGAAAGCAATACATAACGAAGTGCAGAGCCGGTACAATATTGTAAACAAATTTGCGTGATTAGAAAAGCAGTGCACTAAGTAAACTACGTTCAAGTTGATATATTCAAGCCAGTACAGAGTTGCATACAAGTTGCGTAATTACAGTACCATCGGATATAATAACAATTTTACTAGTTTGACGGGCGGAGCATGAAAAAAAAGGTTGCTAAGGTAACGCGCCAGTTCAGCGCGTGACTTGGGGTCAAAATTTGGTCAACACACACTTGATGTCAGCATCGCCGCGCAACAAGTTTCGCAAAAAAGTACTTGAAGTTCAATTGCGCTCCAAAATGATGTCGCTGATCACTCAGTTGTCGCAGCGTGTGTTGTGTCATGTACATGATGCACCCCGTTTCGACTTTGGCTTGCTTTTCCTTCTTAGTGATGCGACCTCTCACCAATGTATTAAAACACTTTGAATTTATACTTTGCATGATTATATTTGGTCAACGCGAAACATTATTTTTTCTAAACATTTTCTGAGACCATTTTTATCAACGCAGGGTTATTTTTCCCGACAAGATGGGCTTCGTAATATCTGCCATAACATCGCCCGGGCGATGCCGAAAGAAATAAAAAAAAAGGCAGTGCAGCCAGACGGCTACTTTGTAGCCACGTGTTCATTGTTTGTTTGTGTACAGAGTGACCTTTGCCATTTCACTGTTTCATTTCAAGTGTAACATGTTGCGTGGTGCTTGACGCAGTGTGTGTTCTCTGCCCGACTATACGCCATGAATGTGGCTAGCCACGAGTCTCAGAGGCACTAAAAAACGTCCTGTAATCGTGTTCATTGGAAAACAAAACAAATCACTAATAAATTTATGAAAACAGCTCCTTTTTGAATCGATCAAAAAGTACTCTTTTAATTCGCGCACCAAAAACCAATAATTTCCGTTTTGACGCTATTAATTCGTGCACTTGAAAAAATAGTTATTTTTACTACCGCGAATTAATCAAGTTTTTACGGTATAGGTGAACTGTGGATGGTAAACTAAGAGCTCACAAGTCGCATTTCCCCTCCTATGAGTCACCAACATACTGTGACAAGACTATCTGTACCTTCACTCTATCATTCCTGTTGTTAAATAGTTGAACTCTGCGGATGTAACTCAGAACAGGATCCTGGTCATCATCAACAACGTTGTGAGTACAAATTGGTGGTAGACCCGGTCTCTAAAAATAAAGAAATAAACAGATATAAAAAAAACTTTTATCAAGTTGAACAGCAATGAACAGTTTCTCTTCTCTGAAATCATCGGTGTGATAAATACCTGTGATCCAGCAATCTGACCCGCCAAATAAGGAGCCGACTAGAAATATACAAATTGAAACATCGTCACTTTCGTTTGAAAATTTGTCTCGTTTTACAACATGCACCTATTTACCTATTACCTGAATTACTTTCCTTGATCCCGATTACCTAAAAGTGGATGCATTTCTACATGGTGGTGGGTCTATCGCTAAATCAGATTTACAATAAACACCGGGTTTTCCGCTAACACATAAAGACAGATTTAACCTACCTTTAAAATATTATATATATGAAACTACTGTCAACATCACAAATCCATTCCCTTGATTTTTATAAACATTTATAAATTTCAATGGCAGCTGAATCCAACCAGCCAATCAATGAACACAGTGAGCAATGGCGTCATTTGAAAATGTTTCAATTTCATTGGGCAATAAAAACCTCTTCATCCGGTTTGTATTGTGAAATTTATAAATAATTATAAACATAGTTGAACTCTGGTGACCTTGCTTTTTGTTATATAATATTATTTCTATTATTATAGTTTGTTTCAATATAAAAATGCATAATCATCACAATTAATTTTGAATACAAACAAGTTTTAGGATTGAAACCGCAGTGGGAAAGCAGTCTACCAAAAGTCCTTGATTGATGTAAATATCTTACAAAAACATTGGTGTCTAATTTGTTTAATTATTTTAAGGAAATAACTTCTAGTTAATTTTAGTTGTATGCATTGTTTTATTCATTCGTAGCTGAGGAATTTGTTTTTTCACTAAAATATCTGAATTACTTTGAATAATATAAATACAGAAGTACAATTGATGTTCAATTATTACTGATTTGATTTAACCTGAATAAATGGAAAACAGAAGAATCGTACTAAATTATGAATAAAACTATTGTTTATCAACAACAAAATAACTTGTGCATAGTTCATCACATCTGTAGCTCTTTAAAAAAAAGGATTTCACATTGCTGTAGTTGCTGTCATATAAATAAAATAAACAAAACAAGCTCGCTAGGTGCAAAATGAATCATAAAAATATCAAACAAACTGATAGCGATCAGTTTAATAAATATGAATTCAGAGTGTTCTTATTTCAAAAAGAAGTAAAAAGTGTACAGTCAACACAGAAACAAGTCACAAGTCACTGCAACCTTAAAATCTGCATTAGAAGCCAAACAAAACAGTCAAAATTTGTCATATGTACGAGATACTTTAATAGAAACCGCATCCCCTCTCAGATGCATTGTATCATTTTAATAGAAACCACGAGGAACCATGGTTTCTAATACAAATTTTACAGTACAAATATTTTTATTCAGCGAAAAATTAATTCCAGCTAAAATAAAGTATTTTACAGTATTCCCTTTCATCTTTGATGCAAGGAAAAAATCAAGAGAATGGGTTTGATGTGTCAACAGTATTTAGACTAGACATTTGCCACATGTGTGAAAAATTAATGATTACGTCATGTCATAAGTTTTGATCGTTGAAAAGTAAACACTGAAATGAGTTTGCCATTTTGAATCAGAGTTTAACACGAATGCATGTTAGTAAGTGTAACATGTACAATGTGGTTGTAAAAATTGATTGCAATCAGTCATTGAGACAAGCCATGTCAAAGACATGGAACCGCATTCGTTGAAAAAAAAATGTATGTCATTCAACCATTTTTAATTTGATCTACAAAACAAAATATGCATAGAGCTATTCATCATGTAATTTAAACCAAATCCTTCAATACATATAAACCAAGAATCAGTTTGGAAACGACAGAAATGCTTGATTTTGATGAAGCATAAAAATGGTCATCATTCGGCCATCTTGAATCTTATTGTTAAATGAATAGACATGCAATAGACGGCCCAGGCATGTCCAAGAAACATGCATACACCGATGCAAACATGCCTAAACAAAGGCCAATCATTGAGTTCCCGTTTTTGGACTTCAATCAGGAACGAATAGTTCTGGCATGGATGACAAACTGAACCACTGTGTGTTTATCCACCTCAGAAGTAATCATCTCGCCAAGAAAACAATCATAAAATACCACATGTCAGACCTGCATGCTGGATATAAGCCTGTCACCATGGCACACGTTGCAGAAACCTCAAAAACTTTGATTCTAGATCATACTTCTAATGTACACCAGAGAGTGCAAAACTAAAATAACATGCACATTTTTTTCAACTACAGTTACATAAAGAACCAAACTGAGAGTTAAATATAGTTCAGTATAATATGAAAATACTATTAAATAATGCAGTAGTATTAATAGCAAGTAGAGATTTTATGAAAATATCCAGTGAAAAATGTAGAGGTATAATCGAGAATAGCACACAAATGTTATCAGATGCAATTGTTTGTGTAACGGGAATACAATAATGAAGCACTCGCAGTGATTACAGTTGCATTCATGTTAATCAGAACCCACTCAGCTCACGTCAAAATCATGTCCTAATACATCCATGTTATGTTTCTTGTTGAGCTTTCAACATGAAACAAAATGTCATATTCTCTCCATGTGCCAATAAATGCTTTTACTGCGCTTCCCTCCAGCACCATGTCATATGAATCAGTATATGTTCTCTTATTTTCAGCCTTGTGTCAGAGTAGATGCAAAAAGCAATATTACAATAATACAATGATAGTAGTTACCTGTGTTGCATAGATACATCTCTTTAACTTCACCATGTCTTCTGAAGTCAGTAAATCCTTGGAGTCCGGTAACTTACCCCTGTATTAAGTATGACAAACAATGAACCACTTAACTTTCATTCACTTATATGCAAATACACAACTGGATATTGTACAATAATTTAAGACTGACAAAATAACAATCACTTGAAGTTAATGGAACTTTAACAGGGAAGAAACAAGTCAAGATTACACATACTGGATTCTGCCATAAATTCGTCATTCGAAAAATCGCCCTGGGCGATTTCACAGTTGCCGGTCCGGTCATGCTATGTTTCACAATTGTTGATTATTACTCAGTAGTGATTATAATAACAGACAAAAAATAAATTCGTTGAATTGCTTTGAAATGCAAATAAAATGCAACTTAGTTTCATCTTAAGCAAATGATTCCGGTCGCATATAAATGCCCGATTCTGTAGAGTATCCACCATGTTTCTTTTGCATGTATTGACCTAATAGGTCAAATCGATAATTAACCAATCAAAATACTGGATGATGCCAATGTGTTCAAATAACCATAGCTTATTTAAATATGTTAATGTTATTGAACGCAATGCGGAAGAGTTGTAGTACGATCTTTTGGCTTGGATTTTGATGGGAAAATGGCATGATTTTTCAAATAAAAAAATAGTTGTTTTCAAACTGACAAACTGAGCATTAGGATAATAATTTACGGTAACAGTGTTTAATAGCTTATTGTCGAAACGAAGCTTACCCATTCACGCAAGTCACAATAAACATACACTTGAATAAAAACTTAATGGGCTATTTTAGGCGTCAGGAACGATTGAAATGTCACAAAAATTACGCCAAATTATTTAAAAAAGCAATTTAAAAAACTGCCGAAAAATCGGCCTTGGTCCCATTTTTGTTTTTTTTTAAACCCAAACTGCCGTTTAACGACCCAGGGCGAATTTACGGCAGAATCCAGTACTTTCCATTATAACAAAATATGCATCAAGTTAAAAAAACATGCAAATTACACAACAATTATTATTTATTTTCAAAATCAAGAAATGCTCAGTGACTCACGCTAATGCCGCCTCAAACATTCGAGAACCAACTTTCTTCTGGATGTCCGCTACTGTCTCTTTCAGTTGCTTAGAAACGGCCTGTCCTTTCAAGGAGTCAACATTGAAACTATTGGTCCGTGCAGGAAATATGAGAAAAGCTACCACGGTGGTTTCGCTATTTGACGACTGAGAGAGGAAAAGGCATAGAGTGAATTTATGATATACAATAATGAATCAATAAGAGCATCAGGGTTGCTAGGTAACCTATCTTATTTTACTTTGACTGATCCAATTATACGTCCACCTTTTGCAGGGGTCCTAAAATATGTGGGAGTTTGTGCAATTGTTGGGACTACCGTAAAAACCCGCAAATAAGCGCCACCCTCAATTAAGAGCCACTCAGTGAAAATTTGTTACATTTGACCCTCCATTAAGAGCCACCAAGAGTTGAGTGGTTTTGTCAATAAGAACCCTGAAATAAGCGCCAGCCGCCAGGTTGTTTACAATCAGGCAGACACCGAGCTTGTCGTGCCTCACTTCCACTCTGCATTGTTTATTGCCCCATAGAAGGTGTGAGACAAATAAAGATTATCCCCATAACTTGCCTGATGTCCTGTGTAAT